GATTATGGCAGGAAGATCTCAATCAGAGGATCCAAAACACCAGGGGCTAAAATCTACCCCTCCTAGAACTAAAATACCACTTGTAGGTGGTCTTACCATATAGGAAGAATAACAACGGTCTTCTGCAACGACATCAAAATGTGGAATATTTTATGACATGGGGATGACTAAGGTCTGCAGATTGTAGTGCAAAAGACGCAAGAAGGTGCCATCTGGACAGCTCAGCCTATTCTGCCAACTAAAACACCTCCAGAGCTATGGGGTTATCAAAGACTAATCTGACAGAAGCCATGAAAACCTGTCTTTGGTCTCAAAAGAAACTTGACAAATACTCGGATCCTCGAAATCTTTTTTTTTTTTGCACGCTGGCTACATTTATCATGGTGTATGTGAAATCTGTGACACCACCTAGTTACTGCAGTGCTTTGCAAAGTGCAGACATTGGCAGGCCTAAGTTGGAGGAGTGTAAAGGTAAAATACTGTACAACTTGGCAATGAAATGTAAAAACATTCCCTTCTGTTTCTAGAGACGTATCCAGAGTGCAAGTTATTGTCCACCTCTCAGAAGTACAGGAATCCCTTGTAGGTCATTGAAAAAAATGGCTGTGGGAAAAAACCCTTTGGTGTCTCATGAATCAATCCTTCCATAGGAAGAAAACACTGAAAGACAAAAGAATGAACAAAATTAGATACAAATAAACAAACAAACATTCTAATCTGGAAACCATGCTTTTAATTTTGACAAAATGTTTTCAAACTGCCCTGAATTTGAACAAATTTAAAAGACATTTAATCCAGGTGTATATTCATTAAAGAGAAAAAAAAAAAATCCAGGTGTATATTCATTAAAAAGAAAAAAAAAATCCAGGTGTGTATTTATTAAAAAAGAAAATAAAATCCAGGTGTGTATTCATTAAAAAGAAAAACAAAAAAACCCCGAACAAGTGTACATACTTGAATCTCTGTGTACATCAAGGTCTTGTAAGCGTGCCTTCTGATGCGTTCTGCCGCATACAGAAACAAATGCAACCTGTTCTACTTTGGTTGACTGCACTGGTGTGAACTATGGCCATTGGAATACATGGAAAACACTGTGCATACGTTTTTGATGCAGATGAAAAAATTAAAAAAAAAAAAAAAAACGCACTGAACTGCATCGAGTGTGAACTAGCCCTGAGAAAAAAAATCTTAAAATCAGAATGATGGACACTGTGTCCCAATGCCAGCCAAAACTTCACTCCAGCTGCAAAGAGAACTGTTGTTCTTTGTGGAAGCAGTGGCCTCTGTACAGCAGTCCAACATGTCTCCTACTGAGCCAGAGCTAGAGCTGTGCAATCAGCAAAGTCCACACTCTGTGATGAGGCCTAGATCTGACTCAGCAGAGGGAATACAAAGCCTAATGACAGCACCAAACACATCCAAGAGTCCACATTATTTTGACATTGGTATTTGTTCACAACAGGAGGATACAGAAGAGCCAACATGTTCCAGGGGCTGAGGAAATCTCTGGTGATGGAAGAAAAGCTCAGGTGTTGTAAGTGGTAACCAGGGGTGGACTGACCATTTGGAAACTCGGCACTGCCCGAGGGCCCGGGGTCAGTAGGGAGCCCCATGAGATGCCTCTGGTACCTTTTCATAGGCTTTTTTGAGTGTGGGCAAGGACAAAGGGGCCCCATGATCCCCTATTGCCCGGGGGCCCCATGAGTTGTCAGTCCGCCCCTGGTGGTAACACTCACATATCACATAGTGACGGCATAATCACAAGAAATATTCCTTCCTTATACAGACGTTACAAGATGCCAGGAATCTATATCAGCAGAACCCTCCTTCCTGTGGTAGACCTCTGTAGAAAGACCACTGCTTCCTTTATGCAGCTGAATGCAGGTTAGTACAGTTGGAGATGGTAGTGGGGATTCTATTTGGGTCTGTTTACACTTCCTGTTGGGGGAGCAGTAAAAACACGCAGTTTTTACCACCCCCAAACCAAGAGAAAAGTTAAAGAATAAATAATGTAGATGCAGTAAATGTATTAAAAAAAGTTATCTAAAAAGAGCTTTGATTGGGTGGTAATTTTATTAGAAATCACCTTTCCCCTTTACACCGCAGCCATCTATGATTTTCTATTGCTTTTTTTTTTTTTTTTTTTTTTATATAAACATGGCAGCTGAGGCATTCTGTACAATAAATAATTGCTTGTGATTGTTTTTTCTCTGCATTTTTTTTTACTTACTACTAGGGATGCACCGAAATTCCGGTGGCCGAAACGTTTCAGCCGAAAACACCCCTTTCGACTGTCAGCCGAAATGAGAAAAAAAAGCACCGATACAGGCCCCTCAAAGCCACCCATCCGCTGTCGCTCGCCTGCCTGCCGCTCATAGTTCAGTCTTACCTGAGAAATTATCGATCTCGGCGCTGGGCATAGAGGCGAGTGAAGGAAAGATGGCCGCCACACATCTCTATGCCCTTGGAGGACCGGAGCGATGTCACTTCCGGCTCTGGACATTTTTTTTTTTTAAAGCAGAGGAGAGATGTGGGGTCTTATTGACCCCCATCGCTCCATAAAAAGGACCTTTCACTAGTTATTTCTATCACAAGGGATGCATGCATTTCTTGTGAGAAGAATAAAAGTGATTACAATTTTTTTTAAAAGGAACAGTGCAAAAAAAAAAAAAAAAAAAACAACACATTACATTTTTACATAAAAGTGCCCCCGTCCCCCCGTGCTCACATGTAGTGGTGAATACATACGTAGGCCATGCCAACATATGTAAATGGTGTTCAAACCACACACGTGAGGTATCGCCATGAACGTCAGAGCAAGAGCAATAATTCTCGCACTAGACCTCCTCTGTAACATTACACTGCTAACCTGTAGAAATGTTTAAAGCATCACCTATGGAGATTTTTAAGTACCAAAGTTTCACGCCATTTCCACGAGTGTGCACAATTTTAAAGTGTGACATGTTGGGTATCCATTTACTCGCCGTAACATCCTCTTACATATTTTACAAAACAATTGGGGTATACAGTGGGGCAAAAAAGTATTTAGTCAGCCACCAATTGTGCAAGTTCTCCCACTTAAAAAGATGAGAGAGGCCTGTAATTGGCATCATAGGTAGACCTCAACTATGAGAGAAAAAAAATTAGAAAAAAAATCCAGACAATCACATTGGCTGATTTGGAAAGAATTTATTTGCAAATTATGGTGGAAAATAAATATTTGGTCAATATCAAAAGTTCATCTCAATACTTTGTTATATATCCTTTGTTGGCAATGACAGAGGTCAAACGTTTCCTGTAAGTCTTCACAAGGTTGGCACACACTGTTGCTGGTATGTTGGCCCATTCCTCCATGCAGATCTCCTCTAGAGCAGTAATGTTTTGGGGCTGTCACTGGGCAACACGGACTTTCAACTCCCTCCAAAGGTTTTCTATGGGGTTGAGATCTGGAGACTGGCTAGGCCACTCCAGGACCTCGAAATGCTTCTTACGAAGCCACTCCTTCGTTGCCCGGGTGGTATGTTTGGGATCATTGTCATGTTGGTAGGCCCAGCCACCTTTCATCTTCAATGCCCTTGCTGATGGAAGGAGGTTTGCACTCAAAATCTCACAATACATGGCCCCATTCATTATGTACTGTACATGGATCAGTCATCCTGGTCCCTTTGCGGAGAAACAGCCCCAAAGCATGATGTTGCCACCCCCATGCTTCACAGTAGGTATGATGTTCTTTGGATGCAACTCAGCATTCTCTCTCCTCCAAACACAACGAGTTGTGTTTTACCAAACAGTTCTATTTTGGTTTCATCTGACCATATGACATTCTCCCAATCCTCTTCTGGATCATCCGAATGCTCTCTAGCAAACTTCAGACGGGCCCGGATATGTACTGGCCTAAGCAGGGGGACACATCTGGCACTGCAGGATCTGAGTCCCTGGCGGCGTAGTGTGTTACTGATGGTAGCCTTTGTTACATTGTTACATTGGGCAGAGCTCTCTGCAGGTCATTCACTACGTCCCCCCGTGTGGTCCTGGGATTTTTGCTCACCGTTCTTGTGATCATTTTGACCCCACGGGGTGAGATCTTGCGTGGAGCCCCAGATCGAGGGAGATTATCAGTGGTCTTGTATGTCTTCCATTTTATAATTATTGCTCCCACAGTTGATTTGTTCACACCAAGCTGCGTGCCTATTGCAGATTCAGTCTTCCCAGCCTGGTGCAGGTCTACAATTTTGTTTCTGGTGTCCTTCGACAGCTCTTTGGTCTTCACCATAGTGGAGTTTGGAGTGTGACTGTTTGAGGTTGTGGACAGGTGTCTTTTATACTGATAACAAGTTCAAACAGGTGCCATTGATACAGGTAATGAGTGCAGGACAGAGGAGCCTCTTAAAAGGAGAAGGTACAGGTCTGTGAGAGCCAGAAATCTTGCTTGTTTGTAGGTGACCAAATACTTATTTTCCACCATAATTTGCAAATAAATTCTTTCCAAATCAGCCAATGTGATTGTCTGGATTTTTTTTCTCATTTTGTCTCTCATAGTTGAGGTCTACCTATGATGCCAATTACAGGCCTCTGTCATCTTTTTAAGTGGGAGAACTTGCACAATTGGTGGCTGACTAAATACTTTTTTGCCCCACTGTATATTGTTTTTTTAATCAAAGTGTATTTTTTTCCAAAAAATATATATTCATTTTTAAAAACTGCGCATTTCAGTTTCAGTCTTCGGCCAAGTGCATTCAGAATTTTTGTTTTTGGCACCAGAATTTTCATCTCAGTGCACCACTACTTACTACAGCACTGGGACTGATCATGTGATTCAGTAAGCAGTTCCACCCATTCAGCACCAATAGAAAATGTTCACATATACTGTATGCAGCAACTGTGCCATTTCCATCTGTGTCGGCATCTTATCACATATACAATAACTCAACCATTATGTTACTCCAGCCATATCTACTATGCTACTTCACACCAGATAACTGCCACAGTTCATACTTACTTCTCTCCATCAGTCCCTGGCCAAAAATGCGATACACATGGAACAGAGACCAAAACAGGACAGACTTAATGACCACCGAGATGAAAGAGCCCGTCACAGCTGCAGCCTCCAAGGTGTAGGAGTCTCCCTTCCCCCACTCCATCGCCACCTGAAAGTGAAATACAAGATGACTACTCCATGGATACAACTGAGCTGGAGTCTAAAGACCTATGATGTGGAAGACTTGACCAATAAAATATAGAACCCTTCTGTAGAGCTTCATACAACATTCCTGCAGCTCTATAAGACCTAACATCTCAAATAAAACATATGGTCAAAAGGACATGGGGACCCCTTCTAATTATTATTTCCAGTGACATGTACTGATAATATACAGCGCACATTTTAGACAACTGTGCGCTTCCAACTTTTTTGGCAACAGTCTTTTTGGTTCCACCATGACCCTATGTCCCTGTGCACAGTCAGCTCCATTAAGACCTAGTATACTGTGGAAGAACTCATATGGCCTGCACAGACCCCTGGCCTCAACACTGACCAGCTTTGGAATCTGTTAGAATGCTTATAAGAGCCAGTTCTTCTCGTTCTACATCAGTACCTGACCCTATAAATGCTTTTTTGGCTGAACAGACAATTCAAAATCATATAAAAGCCTTCCCAGAAGAGTGGAGGCTATTATAGCCACAAACGTGTGAGGAACGCAGCTCTACAGTTTTGAAACAGGATGTCCAACAAATCTATATAGAAGTCTTGGTCTGGTTTCCACAAACTGTTGGCCACATAGAGCACCTCATGGCTGCTTTATTGGCTAAATGTGAGACACAAATGATGAAACATGTACACATTGAATCCTTCCTACTAAACTAGGCACTGTCTGTAAAGGTCACCACACCTTGCAACTGTAAAGGATTATGGTAACTAGGTGTCTAAATAAATACTTCTAGGAAACACACAGTTAAATGACGTACAGTACCTTGTACAGGAGATAAATGAGATAGGCCACTTCAGGAAGGTTCTGCAGCAGAAAGATCCACACCAGTGGCTTTAGTTCTTTTAGGATCTGTATAAACAAAAAACTGTAGTTGTTAATATGACTTTTTGTAAAATTTGTGGTTGTACCAAGAAGAGCATTCACAGAAGGTCCATCCACCTCCAGTCAGAGCTGCAAATATGAATTTCTCACTGTTTTTTTATGCCTATTGGGGCACCCAAGGACAGATCCTTACCTTGCAATTCCCAGGTCTCGCCTCTGCTAAAGTGCAAGAAAACCCAATTTTGTATCTTTTACCTACATATTTATTAAGGCTTACCTGTAGGTACTGTAAATAACTAGGATGTGCACAGTTTAGGACAGGAGTCTCCACACTTTATAAACAAAGGGCCAATTTATTGTCCTTCAGTCTATAGCGGGGCCAGACCATGGCCATCGGGAGCAGAAAAATATGCTGGCCTCAATTCTCTTATTAAGTGTACTAAAGTTGTTTGTTCCTTTAGAACCCTGCATGAGAATATTGACTGCTTGCAGGAAAAAAAAAAACATTTCTTCACTCATTCCTCTCTCTTTTTATCCCCAAATTTTCTTAGCAAGTGACCAGACCAAGCATCAAGGACTTTTAACTGGTTTTCATGGATCAGCACAATTAGGAGGACATCATAAAGTAGTTGCTCCTGTGGGTAGATACTTGGTGCTGCAGGGTATACTACAAGACTCCTAGGTCGCTATAGTTTGCTACTACGCCCCCAATAGGGACCAGGTTCCTTTCCGGTCGCCTCTTCTACAAGTGATAGACTGGCACACGAAAAGAAAGCTCGACTATGGAGATTTCAATCTCATGCTCCATCCAACTCTAGAGAGAACTAAAGGCCTCCATCAGCAACTGTCAAAGGCTTCTAAATTCTGGTCAATACAAACTTGTTGACACATGGCGAGAGTTTAACTACCATAGATGAGAATACACATTTCACATCTTTATTTTTCCAGAATTGACCACATATTTGTTACCCAGGCCTCCCTCTTGTCACACATGCTGAGATCCGCCACATTCCATGGTCAGATCACAGTGCAGTACTTTTATCCTCTCTTTTGAGGAGGTCTTCTGAAATTTCATGGACATTAATAAACAAATCTTTTATTAGACCCATCTTTTAGCCTCTGTTATGCCCTTCAGGATTACATCGGGTTCAAAAGGACACCAGGAACATCCCCTATTACTTTGTGGGAAGCCCAGAACCCACTATTAGGGGTCATTGTATTCAGCTTGCCACTCAAGCAAAAGTAGAACTCTAGGAAAAGAAAAATGTGCAATCTAGCAGGATTTTTAATGTAGAAGAGACAAAGTTGTGCTAAAAAATTGCATACCTGGCAGAAATCGTGACATTTAGTCATTGATATTGAAAATATGACTGATCATGCCAAAAAACTGTCTTTATATTGAAGGATGATAAGCATATGAAGTCATTTATTATCACATGGTTGTTTGGCTCCTTTTTAAATCATAATAAACAGAAATCACCCAAATGGCCATGATCAAAAAGTTTACATACCCTGGAATGTTTGGCCTTGGTAGAGACACACAAGATGACACACACAGTTTAAAATGGCAATTAAAGGTTCATTTCTCTCACATCTGTGGCTTTTTACATTGCAATTGGTGTCTGTGTATAAATAGTCAATATGCTTGTTAGCTCTCACGTGGATGCACTGAGCAGGCTAGATACTGAGCCATGGGGAGCAGAAAAGAACTGTCAAAAGACCTGCTAAACAAGGTATTGGAACTTTATAAAGATGGAAAAGGATATAAAAAGGTATCCAAAGCCTTGAATATGCCAGTCAGTACTGTTCAATCACTTATTAAGAAGTGGAAAATTATGGGATCTCTTGATACCAAGCCAAGGTAAGGTAGACCAAAAAAGAATGCATCCATAACTGCCAAAAGAATCGTTTAGGATACAAAGAAAAACCCACCGGTAACCTCAGGAGAAATACAGGCTGCTCTGGAAAAAGACAGTGTTGTTTTTTTCAAGGGCCACAATAAGATGATACTTAAACAAAAATGAGCTGAATGGTGTGTTGACAGAAAGAAGCCTTTACTGGGACAATACCACAAAAGAGCACGGTTACAATATGCCTGACAACACCTTGACACGCCTCACAACTTCTGGCACACTGTAATCTGGGGTTACGAGACCAAAATAGAGCTTTATGGTCACAACCTTGACATGTTTGGAAAGGTCAACAAGGTCTATAGCGACAAAAATACCATGCCCACTGTAAAGCATGGAGGAGGATCACTGTTTTGGCGGTGTGCGAGCTCCAAAAGCACAGGGAATCTTGTGAAAATTGGTGACAAGAAGATGAGTGCAGCAAGTTATCAAAAAATACTGGCACACAATTTGCATTCTTCTGCACGAAAGCTGCACATGGGATGCTCTTGGATTTTCTATCACGACAATGACCCTATGTACAAGGCCAAGTTGACCCTCCAGTGTTTACAGCGGAAAATGTCAGTGTCCTGACCTTAATATCATCGATCCATTCTAGGGAGATCTCAAAACGTGCGGTCATGCAAGATGACCAAAGACTTTGCATGACCTGGAGGCATTTTCTCGTGATGAATGGGCAGCTATACCACCTGCAAGAATTTGAAGCCTCATAGACAACAATCACAAAAGACTGCACACTGTCATTGATGCAAAAGGGGGCTTATACACAGTATTAAGAACTAAGGGTTTTCAGCAGCAATTCCCCTCCCAGCTCACGGTGGAATTAGACCCTATTAAGAGATTGCTTACCTCCGGGGTGTTGGTCTTCCTTATATTTTTGTCTCTCATGTGCAGATATCCCAGACCTAGAGGACGATGGCTGGGAGGACTGTTTGGGTTCCTATGTAACTAATATGATCTCTGTTAGGGATAGGTTTATCTAACTTAAATTTCTCCATAGGGCCTATTATATGTGTCAGCAATTGGCTGCCATCTATCCCTCTGCTCTTCTGCCTGTCCCTACTGCCAGGCACCCGAGGCATCCTTTTTTTCATATGGTTTGGTCATGCCCTTCTCTCCATTTTTTTTTTTTGGATGGAGGTTGTGGCTGACATGACAATGCTGTGTGTGGGTTGATTCTCAGATTGGATCCAAAGACCCTACTTCTGAATGTTTTTCAGTACCCTCCTCCGGGTATATATGTCAAACTGTTTTCATTCTATGCCTCCTTCTATGCTCGTAGGGAGATACTCCTCCGCTGGAAGTCTGCTCAGCCCCCCACGGTGACCTCTCAGCGTGCTACTCTTAATGCGGTTTTGCTCCTATGTAAGCGAACTTATCTTAACCGTCACTGTCCCAAAAAATGTTCAATTTGGTCTGCATGGATAGATTTTTGCAGTGCAGGTGTTGATCTGCCTTTGCAGCCCTGAAGGGGTCCACACCATCTGCTGGCCTATCTTAGTTATTATGCAGTGGGCTTCTACCCTATTTCAATTTCTCTCTTTCCTTCGTTTCCCCCCACCTTCCCTCCTCCTTTCCTTCCTCTTCCGGTTTCCACCCCCTCGCTATCGTCTCTTTCTCCCACTTTCCACTGTCCCCACCATCTCCCCTTCCTGGGTTAATTGGGACTATTTACCCCTGTAAGGGTATTGAGAAGTCCTATCATGTGTCCCCCTTTTGTGTGTGTCCCCTGCGTTTTAGGATTTCACTTATTCCTGCATTGACAGTGTTCATGACAGATTATTGCTGGATGATGCCTATGCTGTTTTTGCATTATTAGGATTCTATGGTATCTGTATTTTGGTGACAACTGGATCACTTGAATGCTATGTACTTTGTTTGTGTATCTGGAAGATTTCAATAATGTCCATTGTTAAAAAAAAAAAAAAAAAAAAAAAGTGGTATAGTAAATAAAAGTGAGCACTCTAAGGTAAGCAGCTGGGCACTCGAGGAAACCAAGTAAAAACCTCCGTCACAAACATATAAATGGGAGAAAGTACAGCGCTATATAATGAAAATAGGTATATAATATCCCCAATAACATTAGCATATAACAGTGACAGTCTATATGGTGAAGACAATATGGTGTAATGATCCAATCCAGTGGCGGTGCTCCCAGTGATAAGGTAAGAATTACGCACTCACCAGAAGCAAAACTCAAATACGCAATGTGTAAATCAACATGGATCTCCTTCACAGATATAGGTCCGGACTGGAACACAGGATAATTCTCCCTCAGGGTGGTATAGTTATGAGCCCTCAGAGATATAGGATGATCCAGATGGCCCTGTACAGCAACCTGAGTCACAGGTGCATAGGTTTGTGTGGTGGTGCTACTGCTCGGCGAACCGTTTTGCACAGACTCCTCGTGTGTTGTGTGGGTGGTAGTGCAGCAGCTGCGCAGCCATTGTCTCTCCCGTGTAGTGGATATAAGCGGCCTCCTCAGAAAGTAGATGCTGGTGTTCCACTGAACACTCCTGAACATGGCGCCAGTACAAAGCAGAAACCCGCAGCAAGTTTACACTATGACTTCTTAGATTTATCAGTCAGTGAAAAACACGAAGGCTCTAATGCTGACATTTCACCCAGAAACGACACAACTTCTACGGACACAGAGTTTCTTACAGTATTGGCGTCGACTCAGGTTGCTGTAGAGGGCCATCTGGATCATCCTACATCTCTGAGGGCTCATAACCATACCACTCTGAAGGAGAATTATCCTGTGTTCCAGTCCGGACCTATATCTGTGAAGGAGATCCGTGTTGATTTACACATTGCGTATTTTAATTGCGCTTCTGGTGAGTGCGTAGTTCTTACCTTATCACTGGGAGCACCCCCGCTGGATTGGATCATTACACCATATTGTCTTCACCATATAGACTGTCACTGTTATATGCTAATGTTATTGGGGACATTATATACCGCTGCACTTTCCCATTATATGTTTTAAAAAAAAAAAAGAACTAAGGGTATGCAGACTTTTGAACAGCGGTGATCTAATTTTTGTTTACTTGTTGCCATGTTTTGTTTTATGATTGTGCCATTCTGTTCTGACCTTCAGTTGAATTTGAACCCCATAAGAAATAAATGTGTTTTGCCTGCTCACTCATGTTTTCTTTAAATATGGTACATACTGTATATTACCAATGCTCCAAGGGTATGCAAACTTTTGAGCACAACTGTACATACTGTGGATATAGGGTTTGGATGATGCAAGGTGTTTTCTTTTTGATTAACGAACCTTTTTTAACCTATATTTTCGCAGTTCCAGTCATTTGTTTAAAAGAAAAGGTGTACTAAAAGCCAAACTATTTTCTTTAAAGTATGAAAGTATGAAAGGGTTACAATGACTGTCACTTTTTTATTGCTGTCTCCACTGGGAAGTTTCACCCTATTTATTCTAGTGATCATTGTCATTGAGACAAAGTGATGGGAAATCTTCAATATTAAAGCTACCACCAGAACAAGAGATGAGGATAAATCTTTTAATGCGGACACCTCATCAGTGATAATGGTCCAAGAGAGAAATTCCACTAACTTTGCAGAGATTTTCTCTTGCTTTTTAACCATAGATCTGCTTGTCTGCTTTGAAAAGTAGGCCGTGAACCTAAGGCCCCATTCACACTGTGCACTGCACAACCAAACCCAACTATATCCCAAAGGATATAGATTATCTTACGAGGTTATCTACCAAAAACTAATATTTTCATTTCAGAAGTTGCTGACAAATTGTCTCCCTTTCCTTTTGACATTTTCAATTATTTTACATTAGTGAGACTAAAGTGTGTGCATGGAGGACAGTGGATACTTTTCGAATCTGAAGCTCCAAAAGGTATACCCAGTAAGTGATTCAATTCAATCTACTTAAAAATGCATTTTCATTTTTCAGGTGGAATGGCCATTTAAGACCCCAAAATACAAGGTTCCTGCTTTGAAACATGTATGAAGTAGGATTCACTCATCAATACTCACAGCTAGAATGCCGATGGTGACTTTCAGAAAAGCCCAGAATAAGCCAATGCCAAGTATGATGCTATGAAGTGTAGAGATTTCATATAGGCCAGAGACCAGGACCAGGACAGTGAGACACAGCTGAAGGAAACAAACAATACAATGTCACATTAAAACAAAGGTATAAAACATCATTTTCTTCACAGAAATGTCCATATTTCAATGGAAGCTAGACAAGGAAAAATACTGTAAAGAAAGATATACAATCTTTGAACTAGATCTAAACCCACCAACTAAAATCTTAGATAAGTTTCAAGTCTGCAACTTTCTTTACTACAATATCTGGTGATCCTGCCATGAAGGTCAACAGGCACTTCCTGTCAATGGTGACCACTGTCTTCTAGTTGTGCTTTTGTGTTGTCTCCCTTTCACATAACACCACTGGTGAACTGAAATCCAGTAACAAATATTTGGGCACACAGCACCAGTCACAGTTGCCTTTAATACAGTGGATCCCATGTGCTGCTGGTTGCTAGTTACTGTAAAAAATCTTTCATCTTGTAATGGTGGGTACTCCCAACAGCGGTGATCTTCTGTTCACCCACTCTTTCCTATCTCCCCAACTATTTACAAAACCCCTAGTATTCTTGTATCAGAATGCAAAGTGTTCTGTGAATGAAGGATGATTATGAAGGCAGATGAATGACAGGATCTCCTCTATTTACAGAATGCATTGCATTTTGAAAGAAGAATACTAGGTGTTTTGCAAATGGGAAAGTGGGCATCAAGGGGAGGGTGAGTGCATCCTTCATCATCGCAGCTGCTGCTCTTAACCCTCACAGCACAGGAGGATCATCGATATGGGGAGTACTCAGGGTCATTGGAGGGAAGATTTTTGCAGTACCAGCAGCAAGCAGAACATGAAATATGCTTTATTAGAGGTAATTTATGTGACAGATGCTATAATGTTTTTCGCTGGAGTTCAGCTTTAAATCTACTCTCACTGAATCTCATGGCTCCAAGGCCAAATATAAGCTGAAGTCCGGTGGAGAATATACACGAAAAATATCCTCACACAACATTTAAAGGGACACACCATTAATACTAATGTGCAGACTGTATTTACTGGAAGGTGTCAAACAATACATGGTCAGTACGCTACTATTCAATTTCATACCTGTGGCAAAAACTCCAATCTATACAGACAAGGCTAAATTATTAATAGGAAAGCACATTATCATGCCATTAAACATCAGAGGAAGTGGCTGTGTCGATTTATAGCAATTTCTTTCCATTTCAAACCGAGTCTCTGACACACCACCAACCTTAATGCTGTTCTTCCAACTGCCTTGGTCTTTAACATAAGGCCTGAAAGATCCTTCGGCATTTTATCGCACCCCAGAGGTATCCGGTCGTACACTACTGGCCCTAAATGCTGATATGCATTCAGCAAAGGTGGACATACTTAGATTTTGTTTATCATGAATAAAATGTGAAATATTATTGCCTATGAATAATGGCAGGAGACACAAGTAATTCATGCACACTAAATGATGAGACACTTTTAAAGACACCATTAAAAGTTGGAGTGGCACGACTGAATTGGAAAACAGATTACTGTAAGTCTTAGAATTCCATTAGAAATGTTATCAAAGTCAGACTCAAGACTTAGACAATCAAGGCCATCCCAAGCTTATGCCACATCTACATTTCATCCGTGCAAAGATTATACCACCTTTACAGGAATTCTCAACTGCATGTAGGTTCGTCAGGACTCTCTTTAGGTGCACCAACATTTCTTAAAGGGCCCCAACATATAGCTGGCAAAAGAAACATCTCAATGACTGCCCCTGCCACACAAATCCCTATATCACTCCATACCCCTTCTTGACATCTTAACTACTATCAGTGCTTACCAGACGGTTTTAGGCCTAGCATAACCACCGTTAGTGCACTCTGACAGTATAGCGCCACTGGTTTGTAGTACAGGTATTTTACTGCTCACTGTTGCACTTCAGGTGGTGTTGTTACTATTTATGCTGATCTGTAAGGCAAGTGTCACTTTATAACTTGTCCTTATTGTTAAATAATTTGTATACTAAGTGTATTATTACCTTTATTGTTCACTTCAACTGTTTTCTCTGCCTGCCGTTACCAACTTTATTTTCTGACTATATATTAGGTTTGTTTTTACCAATTGGCTTGGTGCTTGCGGTCTTTACATTTAGCATTATAGTTGGGTACTGGTGTTACGGTCAGGAATTTCGCTGTGATAGTGTGTGTTTAAGTTCTCAGCCTGGTGTGTCAGAGGGGCTAATATCTTTGAGAAGGTCGAGACCAGAAACAGAGGAGCCACCTTAACTACGGGTAGTGCTACCTGTGGTTATCATTCAAATTTAAACCGTAACTGAAGCCAACACAATGGCAATTCTTCACAATGGAGACACAGCAATAAGAACCTGGCAGTAGCCCTTGTTATTCCCACACTGTTTTTACCATAATAATAATGTAAATTCAATAACAATATGTCACAAATTTGTCACAAGCATTGAGGTTTCTGCTATCATATTATATCAGAATACATACCAAAGGGAGAGTCACAAAAACATTGGCCTGAAGCAAATGTATATAATACAGCCGAAGCACTAAAAGGAATGCAAGGACAGACTGCTATGGGGAAGAATGCTGACATCATTCCTGTCATCCACATTGGGCCATATAGATGTCACAAGAGCTGAAGGGACACAAATCTGTCAAAATATTTCTCTTTGTGCTTCACTGAATGTCTGTCCTATCAGTTAGGGGAGCAAGTTTGTAAGCTACAATGAAAGGGTACTACAGAGCATACTTAAGTATATTAAAGGGGGCTTCCATTTGAAAAAAAAAAAAAAAAGGGGGGGGGGGGGATTCAGCCAGGTAACCCAACTGACAGAAAGACAATTGTCCTCTTCATTCGCTTGTTTGGGTAATCAATACAAAGTGCAGCAGTTGTCTTAAATTGGAATTAAACCCGCAGATTTAAAGTTTTGAAAATGAGTCATATTCAAGGCATGCCTTGAATATTAACTGTTAGGCCTCATTCACACCATACGTGCAGAAAAACTGATGGAAACGGCCGAGATTTCACTTGCAGAGATATCAGTTTTCATATGCGTTTCAATTACTTTTATAACCGTTGCAGATTCCTGCGCAGAAATAAATCTGTTGTGGTGTGAACAGGGTACATAGAGAACAATCATTTTTTTTTTGTCCTCCTGCAGAACGCATGCAGAAAACTCCCATCTCTGCATATGGTGTGAAGGCCTTACAGTTACTAGTGTGCTTATGTTAGCCCTCAACCGAACGGTCAATCCATCAGTGGCTGGTGTGATAACTGACCACATAGGAAGCACCCTGGTAATTTCAGATCAAACAGAGGCTATGAGGTCAGTTTAGGATGGAGGTAAACTCCCCACTACTGTCCCTGATATCTATATTTGCACAGTGATTACTTCTCCAGCAGGGATAGAGTAACCAATATTCAATTAACACTTTTGTGCAGCGCTTACAAGTGCTCTGTGTAAAGTGCTAATACAAAAATCATCATATAAATGCCATATTACAGTGCTAACTAGCATTAAAGTGTCACTTAAGTACTAAAGGGTATATAATGTCACGGGCATATGTAGAAAAGCATAAAACTAAAAAACATATAGGTAAACACACTTCCTATGCAATATAAGTGATCAAAAATATAACCGCTATTGTGCAATCTTCCTTCTAATCAAAATACAATATTGATATAAAGTCCCAATACAAATAATTTCCAAAAACGTGTCAATTGAAGTGACTTGTGCCAAATAGACAAAAGATAATACCCTCCTGCGCCTAAATGGGGACAATAAAAAACGAATAGCTGCCATCACCTAACCTGGTTTCAATAGGTGCAATATAATAGTAAAAAAAATGGTGACGCGCTAACAATACAGTACAAAACACAGGAAATATAAAATGAGCATACACATGACAAGTAAAATGAAATAAAAAAAGTGACAAAGCAAATTGATGATCCAAACGGATGGCATAAAGTGCTGCTGATGGTGAACAGGTAAAACCTGTACTCTGACAAGTGAACCCTTTCCCAATTGGGAAAAAACAGCAAACCAGCCACCCCTAGTCCACTAGGGGAATGATATTATAGATCATGTGACCAATGGGTGCGTCATTTCCGGTGACCCACTTCCGGATGGACGCATGTCTTGGCTCCATCCTTGGATCCATGCAGTACACCCATACTAAGTGGTGGTAACGTGTTTTTTTACTATTTCCTACATGTGAGTGGGCATTTTTTATTCGCTTATTGATGTTAACCACTTGCCGTCCTGCCACTGTGTATATACGTGTGCAGGGCAGCAGTGGAGCGCAAAAGCACGTTTTAAAACGTGCTCCGCGCTCCCGCGACACATTCGCAGGTAGGGGGCGCGCGCGCGCGCGCTCCCGCCGACCTGCGGGTGATACGATTCGATCCAGGAGGGATCAATCATTAGATTTCAGCCAGTGATTTCTGGCTGAAATCACATGATCGGTCCCTGTCCTACCCTGTGTTGACATTTACACAGGGCAGGATATGATGTCATTCTTCTCTGCCTGGACACATTCTGTTCCAGACAGAGAAGAAGACATCCAAACAGTGGGTAAAACACTACACACTGACAGTTAGAACACTCTAGGTCACATTTAACCCCCTGATCGCCCCCCCCCCCCCCAGTTAACCCCTTCACTGCCCTGTCACCAGTGTCACTGATCAGTGAAGCGATTTTTACTGATCAGTGTCGCTGGCGACTTCCGATAGAGTTAGCGCCCCTCCCAGATAGCGCCAGTTTGCCCGCTAATACACCAGTAGTCCCGTCTAACCCCTTGATCGCCCCCCCCCCCCCCCAGTTAACCCCTTCACTGCCCTGTCACCAGTGTCACTGATCAGTGAACCAATTTTTACTGATCACTGTATCAGTGTTGCTGGCGACTTCCGATGGTGTTAGCGCCCCTCCCAGATAGCGCCAGATTGCCCGCTAATACACCAATAATCCCGTCTAACCCCTTGATCGCCCAGACCCCCCCCCCCCCCCCGAGTTGACCCCTTCACTGCCCTGTCACCAGTGCCA